TCTATAACCTTTACTTCATAATCAGTCTAAGCCTTGAAGCAGTGTTTTTTGAAGCAGTGATTTTCAGCTGGGGGTTGTGGCCCAGAAATGGGTCACAGATTCACTCTGAGATGCAAAAGAAACTAAGCATAAAATCGAGCACAGACAGCAAATGTTACATAATGTAAACTCAGATAGATGGAATAAACGGAGTGTTTTAGGGCTGTCAAAATGGCTGGTTTAATACAAAAGGCCGAAAGCCAATCACACAGAGTACATTTTTTGTTTAAAAATACGAGTTGCAGTGGGATGGGGGAAAAAAACAGCCATTAAGTCTCGAGATATGTTTTTTCAAAGTTGACAAAAGTTCAAAGAAAGTTCAAAAAATTAATTTTACATGGCTTTCCAAACATGCGGTTCTCGAGTGCAACGGTGATAGATGCACGAAATATGCGTTCTGTGTGAATGGTTTGGTTTCAGTTTTGACGTAAACAAGATCTTCTCCGCATTGATGTTCTCTTTTCCCGCAATATTTGTAATCAACAACGCAGCATCACCGTGATGTTCTCTTTTCCTGCAATATTTGTAATTAACAATTCAGCAGCGCCGCATCTAGTGGCTTCAACTGGATAGGCTAACAAAAACATTAAAATGTAATGACACTTACATCGTCATCGCATCTCGTGCTCCACTGATAAGGCAGCCTCCTTAACGCACACCTAAAATTCGAATGCAACGTTTTTGCATTCGAATGTGGATTTTTATTTTAAATTCGACGAATATTCGAAATTCGAATTTTTTTTTGACAGCCCTAGAGTGTTTAATACAGCACTGAAAAACTGGCAATCAAGTTGGAGTATGCAGTTCAGATATATAATCAGGAGAGAGAGTAAAGTTGATAACTTGACTTTCCTTTGTTACAGGTTCAGGGGATCATGGATGGCAGAGCGGATGAGAGGAAGGATGCACACACCTCTTTGCAAATGGTGAGTATAAAAGGTAATCCCTTTCCACAGGTTTGTAGACAGAGAACACTGGAGACACTTAGGAAGGGAAGACGCACTGGAGACAGTTACTAGAGGTAACTGATAGAGTTCAGGAAGTCTGGTAAGTAGACCACTTCATACAAACGAGACTAGATAATGAGGTGTGTGCTTTTGTAGCAGTCCAATTGAGTGAGCTGGACGAGTAGCAAGTATGTGTGATCAGAATTCTGGTAAGGGTGAGCACTGTGATTGGCTGATGTTGGAGCCTGGCAATTACTTGACAGTACCCCACCCACCTCCACGGCCTGCACCCAGTGGCCGAGGACCCGGACGCTGTGGTGGTCGACCTCTTCCTCTGGGCCAAGGACGATTAGGGTGAGAGTCGTGGAAGGCTGTGAGCAGGGCTGGATCGAGGATATCGTCTCTGGGGACCCATGAGCGTTCCTCTGGGCCATAACCTTCCCAGTCGACCAGATACTAAAATTGGTGCAGTTGATAAGTGACCAGGTTGATCTGTCGGGTGATGGTGAAGGGGCCAGTGTATCTGCGACTAAGCTTCTTGCATGGCAGGCACATCCTGATGTCTCTGGTGGATAGCCAAACCTTCTGTCCAAACTGGAAAGTTGGACTATCCATCCATCAGATATCCGCCTGGATCCGTTGGCGTCGCACTGCCCGCATCACAGACCCTCTCGCTCTCTTGGGATCACAAGTCGACAGATAGGACATCCGATGGTTCCCTGGACCACGGGAACAAAGAAGGCTGGTAAACAAGCACACACTGGAAAGGGAGTGAAGTCCAGTGGCAGGCTGATGAAGGGAGTTCTGAGAGTACTTTGCTCCAGCCTAGGAATTGGTTTCAAGAGTTCTGGCGGCCATGGCAGAAAGTTAATAGGAAAGGTCCAAATTCCTGGATCGTTCTCTTTATCTGCCCATTCGACTGGGGATGGTATCAGGATGAGAGACTCACAGTCACACCTAGGAGGGTGAAGAAAGCTTTCCATACCTTTGACATAAACTGGGGGCCCCGATCTGATACTATGCCCTCAAGAATCCCAAAGTACCTGAAGACATGATTAAAGAGGAGTTCTGCAGTTTCCATTGCCATGGAAATCCCTTTAAGAAGAAGCAGATGACATGATTTGGTAAATCGATCAATAACAACAAGAATACATGCATTACCATCAGAGGGGGGCAGGTCCGTGATGAAGTCCACTCGTAGGTGTGACCATGGGCGATTGGGATTGGGCAGCGGATGGAGCTTGCCTGTTGGTAGATGGCACAGTCCGAGCAGCCTAGAACAAACCTTCTCACATCTCTGGCCAGGTTGGGCTAAAAGAAGCAATCTTTCTGCAGCGAGAGGGTGCTATTGGCCCCTGGGTGGCCAGTGCCCAGTGATATGTGAGCAGATTGGATGAGTGGGGTGTGCTGTGATCTGTGAAACCCCAGCAGAGCGTTTTTGGAGGCATTGGAGGAGGTGGTTAGTTCCTGAGACCACTGGATGGGACTCAAAATCAAGCTGGGAGGCAAGATGGGCTCAGGTTCCTCTGTGACCTCTTCTGGACCTTGAAGACGGGAGAGGGCATCTGCTTTGATATTCTTGGTACATGGACGATATAAATTGTAGACAGAGAACGCTGGAGACACGAAGGAAGGGAAGACACTGAAGAATAATCGCTGGAGGTAATTGTTGGAGTTCAGGAAGTCAGGCAAATAGTCCATTTTGTACAAAGGAGACCAGACAATGAGGTGAGATGAGGTAGCAGTCCTAATGAGTGAGCTGGACCAGTAGCAAGTATGTGTGATCAGAATTCTGGTCAGGGTAAGCACTGTGATGTTGGAGCCTTGCAATTACGTGACTGCAAATACTTTATGGCATATTAATGCAATATCATCTGCCACTTGGTAGAAGTGAGCAAACTTAGGCACAAGCCAATATGAAAAGGTCATATGACTTGCCTTCATCCTCAGAAATACAGAATTTTTCAAACAGCAGGACATCTATGGATCTGTACTTGTAAATTCATTCTGTATCAAGCTTTTTGTTTTTGTTTTTTCCACTATTATATTGTTACACTTGTGACATGCACCTCCCACAACTAACAAATTGATTTGCCTTTCGAAAAGTGTACATTTCAAACTGCTCTTTGAAATGTTGTTGCCAATTTGTGTGAATGCTGTATGTATTTATAACACACAGGAGGATCAGGTGTTTGTCTGTGGGTTGAAGTACTTTGAGGAAGACTATGAGTTTGCTGAGGAGGTGGAGGTGGAGTTTGAGGCGCCGCTGATGCTGCTTGAAGAGAATGTGAGCTTTTTCGAAGACGATGAGGTGGAGCTCATCAAAGTACCAGTCCCTGAGTTCAGAGACGGCGATTCAGCTGGCATCCTGCATGACTTCACCATGGTACAAAAATGCACACACACACACACACACACACACTCACATGCACAGTGTTTAGCCATAACCACCATTGACATATTATCAGTCAACTGACATATTATCAGCCACACTGCTGTATTCATATCCATTATAAATTTAGCAGGGATGGACAGGTTTTCTGAAATTTTCAGTTTCTGAGATTATGAGGTTAAGGGGGGGTTGGCAATTTTTTTTTTTTTTTAATTAATACTTTTTTCAGTATCCAAAGTGACAGTAAAGACATTTATAATGTTGCAAACTATTTCTATTTCAAAGAAATGCTGTTCTCAACAATCCTGAATTTTCTAAATCATGGTTTCCACAGAAATATTACATAACTTTTCAACATTGATTTAATATATGTTCTAGATGTTCTTTGCATTCAAATAAATGCAAAATAAATCAAATAAAAGCGTAAGTCTTTTTGAAAAACATTTAAAAAATCTTACTGACCACATACTTTTGAACGGTAGTGTAAGTCAAATGTAAAGCAAGCGGAGTTTGGAAAAGAGGAAATGTGATATCGGCGTGATAAGGTTCTTAGGTCTTTGGGGTGGGTCATCATATATCCTTCAAATTCGGTTCCTGGTTGCTCAGATGATCGTTTATAGTTAATATGCATTGCGTATGGTCATTAGTTGAAGCTGATGTTAAAATATTTCATCTTATCCGAGCTTAATATGCAAAGACAACTATAAGCAAGCAGTTAGTAGGTTTATTCCTTGACTGTGGCACTGTAAGAATATCAGCATTGCGAGAGAATAGCATTTTCAGGTGATTCCAGATTTTCAGCAGGTACGGCTCAAGTTATTGGCTCAAAGACCTCTATGAGCAAAAACGGCAGGAAACAGGTCACATACTTCTGGGGAACCTGCCAGCCAAACTAGACTTGATCGGTGTCGTGTCATAGGTGTGTGGGCGGAGTCGGCGTGGGTGGAAACAGTAGTTTCATTGTAAACATTGGAAAAGCATGGTGTTGACTCAGAATGGCCTACATAAAAGACTTGAGTAAAAGTCTGTCGTACTTTCTTATTGATATATTAAAACATTTTTTTAACATTGACAAAACGAGTAACATTAAGGTCCACTGAAGTGCCTTGAAATGCGCAGCGTTATTCAATTGGTAATAAAAACGCCAAAAAAAAAACATGGTTAGCCTACTACACTTTTACTATAGTAATACCATTGCTCATTTTCGTAAGGGATTGTGTATCGAAATCATCTCAAAAAGTAAAGATCAAGCGCCTAACAAGGTCTCCGCGCGTTAATTCGAATGGTTTGTTTTCCCCCTCGGCATAAACGGTTATGACGTTTTTGTGGGCGTTCCCAGCAATGCCGAACAAGTCTATACGGCTTGAAGAGCTCACTTGCCCCCTCTGCTGTTTAAAGCCCATTCTTGCATTGTTAACTTCAAATTAAATCCTAAAAAAAAAGAAAAAGACAAAATCACAAGGAACTTATACTAAACACCACTCACTCACTCATCAACTGACTACAGTAATGCACCCTGAATGGCTAAAATGACTTTTAAAGATCTGTCATGTCCACACTAAGTGCACGAAGAAGGCCTTATATACTTTTCTCTAAACATCATAAGCACAAAACATGCATGTCCGAAGTATCATAACTGAAAACTAGTGTACTTATTTACAGGAAACTCAATGCAAATGACTGGCAGCTGTGGAAGTAGATTCACTCATTTCATTAAAAAGGCCATTTGAAAAGGGGAAATTTATTTGAAGACACTGGACTGAGGATGTATAAATTTCAGCATTCATAAACAAGATGGCTGACAGTATTTGTGACCTGTAGTTTACTTTCAATACAACACCAGTCAGAGCCCTGAACAGCTCCTTCCACACTGATTAACCAGCAATGGCTAAATACAAATGAGGGTTCGGCTGACTCCATCAGAAGAGCAGAAAGTAAATGCCAAATTGAAGGTCTTCTGCTTGATTTCTCAAGGAGCTTCACATAAGCACATTCTGATGGAGGCCATTGGTCTCCAGAATTAACATTGGTAAGACAAAGAGAGGAAGGCAAGAAAATAAACCATTTAAAAATGGTCGACATTTCAAGGGAAGATCACTCCTTCTGAAAGTACACATCTGTGAAACCAAATTCAGCTTTCTCCTTCCTGAAAAGAAAAAAGCACAAAGCATGGTATACTAGCTGTGTCTGCATTTTGTGGTCACAGATTTGGATTTATTTGTATGAGATACAAAAATGTAAACATTGCAAAATAAATAGTTAAAACAAGTGACGCAGGACCAATATTCATGCTCATGATCCCGACATGAACTGATGCACTTGTCTTGCTTGCATTTTCAAGTGCAAAAGCATGATGACCAAAAAAACAAAACAAAAAACCAATCTAGGATTCAAGTAACAGAAATGACAGACTAATGATACAAATATACTATTTTTACAAGGTAGTGATAATTCCCAATTTTACAAAATGTACACTTATAATATTGACAAATTTCTCTTAATATTTTGATATGCTGTTATTGGGTATAAGTCTGTGTAGAAGCGCACAGCTCTCAGCACTGAAGTCTTTTGTGTTTTTGGATGGGCTATATGACCTCCATGGCGACTGTGGTCTCTGATAATCCGTTGAGAGTCAGTCTCTCTGGTTCGTGATTTTCCCTGCAATAACAATCAAACATATGATTTATTATTATTATTTAAACTTATTTAAAATGTTCATTCTGTATTTGAAATTTAGATATACACAATGTCTTTATTGACAATTTTGAAGTTTTTTTATTGTTATTTTTCAGATGAATTCTGTTCTTTGAACTTTCTATTCAAAGAATCCTGAAAAAAAATTACTTGTATATATACATATATATATACATAACTTTAATATGCATTATACAGAGGCAAGAGGAAAAGAAAAAAATACCATCTAAACTTTTCTAAAGACAGTAAGTTCCCCTCAGACATACATTCATATAAACTCCTACACCTAAATGAATCGCGATTTGTTAAGCATCTCAACCGATTTGAATCGTCACATATTTGAATCGATTTTCAACCGGCTCGCGGTTAATCGTTACATCCCTAATACATATATATATATATATCAAATTTTTTTTTGTGTGTGTGTGTGGAAACCATGATTTAAGCAGCATGACCATTTTTAGAAGAAGAAAAAGAAAAAGAAGAAGAAATGTTTCCTGAGCACGGAATCAGCCTATAAGAATAATTTCTGAAGGATCATGTGACACTGAAGACTGGAGTAATGACTGCTGAAAATTCAGCTTCACATAAATAAATTAAATTTAACATCATTGTTTTTACTTTAATCAAATAAATGCAGCCTTGGTGAGAATAGGAAACTTCTTTCGAAAGCATTAAAAAAATAGTAGCGATTCCAAACTTTTGAACGATAGTGTAAATTTTTTTGTACATATTTTTTAGGGATGTAACGATTCACTCAACTCATGATTTGATTCACAATTTTGATTTCACGATTCTATTTTCTCACAATTTTTTTTTTACTAAATGAGATTGAAGACATTATCCAGTAAATGAAAAGGTGTCGTTTTATTAGGCTATTGCTGCACGTTTCTTTGTGAAATTTAAATATAACAAAACTGAACTGAAATTCTAAAACAAACCCCAAATCAAACAAGTAAGTTACACAAATAAAAGAAATCTCTTAATATGAACAAACTAAGGCTTTGTCTGTGCTCTTTCCATTTAAAATTAGAGACAAGCACTGGATTTTACTCATGTTCCAAACAAAGATGCAGCATACATGCAGCATGAGTAGTTTTTAATCTAAATTAGACTGTATAATTTCGAAATTTGAAGCAAAAACAGAATGGTCTGACTTTAGTTTTGTGAAACTATACTACATAAAACATCAGAACGGAAGAGCAGACGAGCTGAATGAGACGCAGATTCACTCTCTGACAGCAGGTGGCGCTTATGAACAGCAATGATACAGTGTTTCCTGGGTTACCGCTGTGAACAAAGCAGAGCTGTGCTTATGAACACTACTTTAATATGCATTGTTCAGAGGCAAGATGAAAAGAAAAGATGTCAGATCACCTCAGAGATACATTCAAATAAACTCCTACTCTAATTGTATCGCGTTTTGTTTGGCATCTCAACTGATTTGAATCGTCACATATTTGAATCGATTTTCAACCGGCTCGCGGTTAATCGTTACATCCCTATTATTTTTTATTCTAAAAAATTGTAGATATTCAAATTAATTTTCAGCCCCACCCACCCCTAAAAATAATAATACAAAAAAAGAAAAAGAGAGGAAAATAACAAGTGAATAAGCGCTGTGGTCTCGGTACCGACCTGGCAATGTCGATGGCACTAGTAGGGGTGACTTTGGTTACCCGGTCCAGACTGCTAGCAACACTGGCCAACTTTAAGGCTGAGGGTGAAGGGGCGCACAGGCGTGCACTGTGGTGCGTGTGGGCAGGAGATACAGCGCTCACAGTGCTCAGGTGCCCGTGGCCGTGAGGCAGAGACTGAGGGACGGGCAGCTGTGGGCTAGATGCATTCGTCATACGTACTAAAGAGCCTGACTCACCACCACCTCCACTCGGTGCAGAACGGTTCATTTTTGCTTGTCTAAAGCTTCCTGCAGGAGACAGAAGAATCATTGAAATATGATCAGCTTTCTTTAAATTAACCACCAAACAAAGATTTTGACATAAGTCTCCAAATAAATTCAGGTCTCATGAACAGTTTTGCTATTATTCCCCACAAAGTTCTATAAAACAGTTTATAGTTTTAAAATATTCCCAAGAACTACTGAAACAGACACATTTCATGCAATGATTCTTTTTTATTTTAAAGGGGTCATATGATGCGATTAAAATTTTTTCTTTCTCTTTGGAGTGTTACAAGCTCTTGGTGCATAAAGATCTGTCGGCGGATCGGCTTTCACCGTGGACGAAGCGGAGTCCAGCCCGGGGTCGTCACATGTATTTGCCGCAAGCCCACCCGCCGCCACTCACTCAAGCCGGCCTCCGCACACTCTAGCTCGCCGTGTGTGACGCTGTGTTTCGTTGTGAAAGCAATGTGCAGTTCTGGTGCTGTCGAGTTCTGCTGGAGTTCTTGCTGCTGTAACTGTTTGTGCATCTGAACCAGCTGCTGCTGATGGGAGTGAAATTGCTCTTCTGTGTATCCACCTGCATGTGCAAGAATATGGAGGATAAATTGGGGCAGTCGTGGCCTAATGGTTAGAGAGTCAGACTTGCAACCCAAAGGTCACAGGTTTGAGTTTCGGCAGGGATTGTAAGTGGGGGGAGTGAATGACCAGCTCTCTTTTCCACCCTCAATACCACAACTGAGGTGAGACCCTTGTGCAAGGTACTGAACCTCCAACTGCTCCCTGGGGGCCGCAGCAAAAAATGGCTGACCACTGCTCCGGGGGTGTGTTCATGGTGTGTGTGTGCGTCTGTTCACTACTCACTGCTATGTGTGCACTTCGATGTGTTAAATGCAAAGCACAAATTCCGAGTATGGGACACCATACTTGGCCACACTTCACTTCCACTTACAGATTTAAGGGGCTTTAAGCCAGCAATTGAATTTTTTTCTGCTAGGTGGCAGTAAAGTAACTCTGAACACTAACATTGAAAAGTTTAGGATCAGTAAGAGTTTTTTGAAAAATGTAACTTATTCAGCAAGGATGCATTAAATTGATCAAAAGTGATAGTAAAAATATTAATACTTAAAAACGTTTTAGTTAAAAAAATTAATGTTTCGGCAAGAAAATCAAGTTTTTAATTAATAACGACATTAATAACACTAATATAAGAAATGTTTCTAGAGCAAAGTCAGCATATTAGAGTGATTTCTGAGGAGTCATGTGACATTGAAGACTGGAGTAATAACTGCTGAAAATTCAGCTTTTCCATCACAGGAATAATTATATTTAAAAATGTAATACTGATCAACATTGCACTCAGCCCTTTAACGTAAAGATGTGCAATGTTGTTTGTTAAATGACAACGTGTTCCCAGAATTGACACAGCTCACCTCTGAAGTAAACACTGAGTAAACCAGGGCTTAAACTATCTTTTGTTTTCAGATTAATTACAGCTTAATACTTTTACTTTAAGTGACACGTAAGCATAACACAAAAACCACTAGGATACTTCACAGGTTTAGTATTCATCATCAAATTTAGCCTTACTGAATAATCTACATTTGTAATGTGCACATAAGCTACCGTTTTGCTATGGCTTATGTCTTTGTCTGAATATTCGTTTCCAGTAGGGGTGCTCCGATTGATCGGCTACTGATCACTATCGGCCGATAATCGCTTTGGGATGATTGATCGGCGGTCTCTAAAAAGGCCGATCTCAAAAAAACGATCACAAGCTGATGACACACCTGCCGTGAGGTTTGGCATGACATGCAGCGGCACAGTCTCAGTCTCTGTCCGGCGCAGGTGAAATAATTATAATGCTGAAGGTGAGGTACTCCTTCATATTTTTTAATTAAATAACTTATAAATTCATTTGAAAACCTTGTGTGAGACGTAATTTCACAAACAGCATAAGTGAATCACCTCGCACACTCTCTCTTAAAATACGCAAATGTCTTCAAATCACCACACATCACGTCTGTCTACAAGCGAGCTGCACGCTGCACAGTTGACACAGGAATTGTCACTTGCACAATCGAGGCAGTGTCACATCGTCACTAAAGTTTATAAATTGCATTACTTTTTAATTCTTGCCAGTGTTTAACCATTCAGCGCTCACGCGCTCTCTTGGAGACTGCGCTCATGCACACTCTGCAGCGCACACACATAATGCCAGGTTCACATTACTCTGTTTGCAGTGCGAATGCGGTGCGTATTTTTCCGCGCTCATGTTAACAGATTAATAAAGCGTTCACTGCACATGATTGCTGTCTGGCAGTGCGCTCTAGAAGCGGTGCGTCTGCAGCAGAGCAGAGATAATTTCCGCATGGAGTCTATTGCTGCACTGCAAGCGCTGAATTAAAGTAATACATTTCTTGTTTGTATGAAGGCTAAATACAAGTAAAAGGTGAACATTCATTTATTTGCGCCGTTTTTTTTTTTTTTATATTATATGGTTTTATATGAGGTGTCATAGACTTGCCAAATTCATTTTTCATAAGTTTGTAAGACAGACAACTGTTGTGGGCGTTCTTGGTAGTTTTTACGAGGCTTTTTTTAATAGTATTCATATCGATATCGGAATTATATTGTATCAACCGAAATTAAGAAATATATCGTATCGTGAAATTTTGGCCATATCGTCCAGCCCTACCCTGGAATAAACTGACAGTTACAATTTAGTTGACTGAGCTTCTGAATCCTGTTCAGCTCAGATGCCTCACCTGACACACTGTTAGAGAGAGGCGTCGCTCCACCTTTTTCCACCTGCGGAGTCCCTTTCTTGTCCTCACCCCTTGAGTTCTCCTGTAGCGGCCGAAGGCGAAAAAACTTCCACCTGCAGGCCTGGATGTCACTCAGGAGCTGAGTCAGTGAGCGCTGAGGGCTTAATTTGTAGTTCTGAGAGTTTGTATTTGCGTGGACGGGGAGGTCAGGCACAATAGAGTCAGCAGAGGGATAAAACATGTCAGGGTCCAGATGCCTGAGGGCACGGTCCAGATCTGACGAGGTGCGATCCAAAACAACCCTGATGGAATACAACAGAGTGCTTTTAGATATGCGGCACAATCTGCACTGATCATTAGGGAGTAGCTTCATGAACACTTCAATTTAATCTGGATTAAATAAATTCACACCACACATCATCTCTACAGTGACTCATACTTCAGTAAAGGAAACAGATTTTTTTTCTTTTTTTTATTATAAAAGATTAAAAGGGCAAATGAGAAACTGTAAATAGAAGTATGACGTACCTGCCACCTCTACCCACCCTCCCGCGTGCCACTGCAATACAGCGTCTGGGCACGGACAGGGCGGTGAGACAGTTGCGCTGCCATAGCCGGTCCTGACCCATCTGCTGCCAGTGAGGAGAGCAGCTCTGACCCATCAGCGGCTGAGGACACGCAACACACATTTAACAATGGCAAAAGAAATGACCAAAGCACAAATAATATGCTAACTCTGTCACTATTAAAGTGAGTATAGCATAGTCTATGGCAGGTAGGAACAACTAGCTATGAAGTTTTGTATTAGTTACATGTTATTCACACGCACTAAAGCAAAGCAGCAGTATTGGCCAAGTGTTCTATTTACATGCTACAAAAAACACTCCACCTTGTCTCATGACCCACGTAAGAGAGGGTTCATTATTGTGAATCAGTTTCAATACGTTCAAAACAATGATCTGATGTCATTAGAATTCACACTTGTTCTCAAACGTCCTCAAGCAGCATTTTCTCATGCTTAATGTTAACTAGGGTTGCAAAGGGGTGGAAAATTTCCAGTAAATTTCCGGAAACTTTCCAAAAATCCCTGGAATATTCCAAAAAATCCTGGAAAGTTTCTAAAATTTCTGGAATATTTAAGAAATTTCCTGGTAATTTTCCACCTTTTTGCAACCCTAATGTTAACAATATGCCCTTATATAAATAAGGATACAAATATTAAAAATAATAAAACATTTATTTGTACTTATTTTGATTATTTTAAATGCAGTTTAAATGTTAAATATAAGACATTATCTACTTGACAAAAACGGCTGATTGAAATAATGCTATAAAATGATTTGGGGGAAATAGCCAGTGGTTCTCAACAGGGGGCCGGGGCCCACTAGAGGGTCTCAGCAAGCTTCCAAAGGGGCCTGATGACTTAAAATTATTTAAAATACAACAAAACAAGCATATAAATAGGTTAAATGTTTGTTTGTTTTTTAATGCTTTTGTGGCTATCATGGCAGGAAAACTGTTTAGTAAAACAATATTAGTTATCTATTTTTGTTACATAAATCAAGATATTTCTTATCTTAATTTACCCACTTAACTTAAAAGACAACTTTTAAGATCCAGGATTCACAGTTTTGGAAAACCTGGATATATGATGTAGCCTAATTTTAGTGTGTTTGTAGATCTGGAAAAATCATGCAAATTATTACAATCTTAAAACATTATGGGCAATTTTTTAAGAATGTATATTTCACCAGTTACAAAGCTCTAAACTAATTGCTTATAAGGAAATGAAGTTAAAAATATTTTTTAAAATCCTTACGCAGTAAATCACAAACTATTGGAGGAAGAGTCATGTAAATTCACTGGTTAAACAGAGTGGGAGGCCTGGAAAAATAATCAGCATCTAAAAGTTTTGTAATCCTGAAATTCAATTATTTTAATTACTTTTTTTTTTTTTTTTTTTACACAAACTATAGTAAAAGTGCCCATGGATTAAAAAAGTTTTGAAAACAAACTAGGACTGCATTCGAACATTTTTGTGGACAAGTTGAGAACCACTGCTTTAAGCCATGTCAGGACACCTTAAATATCAAGATAGAATTTTGCCAGCATTGATGTAAAATGGGAAACTCACAGCATGGTAACTGCAGCCAGCTTTCCGTCTGAAGGCAAAGATTCCATCAGGATCATTCTCTTCATCCGGCTCTGAAGCAGGAGACTTCAGAGTAAAAAGTAGAAACAAAAGACATAATTAACGTCTTTTCAGTAAAACTTCTCAATAGGACACATCTACATGAGCATCTGTAGCCTAACACTGAAATTTGCACTGACCAGCGGGTAATCCTCCTCTCCAGAACTGTGGAAGTCATATTGTTTAATGTCTGCCTTGTTGATGGTTTGCTGTCGCTCTGGCCGACCAGGCTGGCGAAATGCATCAAGATTGGGCCTCTTGTACTTTTTATGGGAACGCACAAAGTCAAAGTGAGGCTCAGGCTTGACTGTGAAGGGGTGGAGGTGTTTGGGCCCAGATTTGTGGGACTGAAGGAAAGAGAAGAAATTGTTTTATCACAACTAGTGAGCACGTTCATGCTATTTCTTGCACACAGATATTTCCTTACCTTAATTTTGCTCTCTACCTTGTGTCGGCTGCTCATGGGTAAGGATATGGGCGCAGGGTAAATGGTTTTCTCTGCCAGAGGTACAGTTACTTCATTCAGAACCTCTCCTGAGAAGTCTCCAATTTGATATCTAATAAATACAAGACATGGAGAAACAAAGGGTAAAAACCACTTTGCACTTTTCAAATGATTTAAAACTTAGCGAGGCAGGTAATGAGATAGAGTAGTCCCCTTTCACACAACAACCGTTCTAGCAGTTAAAGGGGTCCTATTATGCTTTTTCACTTTTTTAATTAGTCAGTGTGTAGTGTCTATGTTTGGGCATAAAAAATATCTAGAAAGTTACAAATCTCAAAGTCCACTCCAAAGGGAGATATTTCGTTTTTAAAAAAAATCCCTTTTCAAGAACTACAACGAACGGCTCGTTTGGACTACAGCGTTTATT